AATAAGTGCCCCTTTTCCTGTTGATGAGTGCCTTCATTTGAAACAAGAGACCAGTTCCCCTGTTCACAAATGCCCCTGTTCACCTATGAAAAAAAGTGTCTATTTTCATTCTCATAAGAGCCCCTTTTCATTTCTGTTTCTGGTAAATGACCCTTTGCAGGTACGTGAAGTTACTCGGATACTCGTTTTACTTTGAGAATTGCCCCACCCCTGATAAGTGCTCTTTTCATCTTTAATGAGCGTCCCTTTTCATCTTAATTAACTGCCCCTTTTATTTTGACACATGCCCCTATTCCTTCCTAATAAACGCCCCTTTTCCTTCTTATAAGTGCCCCTTCCCCTTCTCCTAATTACCCCTTTTGATCTATGATAAGTGCCCCGTTTATTCTAACAAGTGCCTCTTCTCATAAAAGCACCCTTTCACCTCCGATAAATGCCCCTATTAAAATCAGATCGGTGCCTCTTTTCTTTCAACAAATTGCACATTTTCCTTTATTGTAAGTGCCCCTTTTCATTCTCATAAGTGCCCCTTTTCATATCTGGTAAGTGCAACATTTCACCTCTGATAATGACCCTTTTAACAATGATACGTGCCCCTTTTCCATTCTAATAAGGGACCTATCCCATTTTCGCCTCTTATAAATGCCCATGTTAAAATCTGATGGTTTCCCCTCTTCCGTCGACAAACGCCCATTTCTCATTCTCATAAGTACCCTTTTTCATCCCTAGTGAGTGCCTCTTTTTTTAGGTGTAAGAAGTGACACATTTTCACCTCTTTGAGATCTGCTTCTTTTCTTTTCTAATAAGTGTTTTATCCCTTTCGATGAGTGTCCCCCTTTTTTCATCATTAAAAGTGCCCCTAATGTCAAGCGACTAGAAGCAATTTCCCCCAGAGCTCGTTCGCTACGCTCGCTAGCATTTATAGTTAATATAATTATGTTACTTATCAAAGGTCTTTCCAGTCTTCCGTTATGAGAATGTGCTGATATCCCCATCAGGATTGTTTTTTCCTCTTTATAACTTTTTAATTTTCGTACTGCGACCTCACAAATCTTCACATTTTTCAGACCATCTCACCCAACTGCAAAGTATGATGCTTAAGTAATATCTTATATCACGTATATATAAAAAGAAATATTGAAATAATCCCTGATGATGTTACCACAATATAGGGGTATATACCAATGTCTACAAAATTGTTTATTTTCGCTTCGAGATTTCCCTTTGTAGGTGCCCTTTTATCTGGAAAGTGCCCCTTTTTACTTTGAAATTCAGACATAAAATTCAAAAGATTTGGAAAACCGATAATCATTAATTCATAAACTTACGAAAATACAGTACACGGGGAAATCTCGTTTTGAGCAGGCAGGACATTATGTGCTTGCACAGAACCATTGACATCTTGAGGTCGCAAATCAAATTATAAGAATACTTTTTAAAATTTCCAGGAAAACTTACCAAACTTTCACCTACCAACTTTCTTGTGTAATTCTCAATAATGGCATCAACATGAAGTTGTAAACAATATTACAATAATAATTCATTTCATAAGACGGGGCCCAGTTCTGTTTAAAATAAATTTTAATTTCTTCATAAAAATTATGTTTCAATGCATTTAAATTTTTATTACGTATTCTGAACTGAATGAAATGAAATAAATATTAAAAACCAAATACATTCCTTGAATAAGTCTATTACTTATGAAGCTTAGAATATATGTAGGGTGCATTGAGATCAAAACACATCAAAAACCAAGAGCAAACAGTCCAAAGACTGACACCTGTCTTGGCTACAAAGTAAAATTTAAATCAAATATACATAATAAAATAACAGCAACGAATACATAATCAAGTTACATAAGTTAAAATATCCAATAGCTAAACTATCATTACTAAATATTGCAATAACATATAAACAGTAACAACAAAAGTATACATCATTACAATTACATCAATAGAGGACTCTCGAGATGTGCAATAACTAAATCAGGCACAGATCGAGAGGTAAAAATGCATAAGACTATATAAAGGGGTTAAAAAGATTAACGGTGAAAGAGAGGGGAATACGGCTGCTAAAGAGAGAGAGAGAGAGAAAGAGAGAAGAAAGGAAATAGGAAGAAATCTCAATATCAATACGATCAGTTTACTCTGTAAATTCAGCACAAGTATCCAAAGATTGTAGATACTATTGCAATTATTCTGAAATACATGTACGTACAGGAAAAAGAAACATGTGCAATCTACCAAAGAGGAATAGAAATAGAACAAGGAGGAAAAGAGAAGAATTCAAGAAAAAGAGGGGAAAACACAAGATAGGAAATGAGAAGTTAATAGATTTACACAAGTTTCATAATGTTGATTACCTTCTCTGCCTGTGGTATAAATGAATTTTGGTATCTGAAAGGACGGCAAGCTGGTTGGCAAAGAGGGTCACTGTTTCTCAACTGGCGAAAATGAACAATATAAAGCTAGCCTATAACTAACATAGATTATTATACTTAAGAACAGATCCTAATAATGGATAGCTTTAATGAAATCCGAGCGCGGAAAAGTTTTTAACCATTTGTAAAGCCGGATATATTCTCAAAGTCGCACGCATAGGCATTGTCTGGCCAAGTTGGAGAAAAGATCGCATGCGAGTCTTTTGTTGATGGATGGCTGGCGCCGCTGTAAAGGGAGAACTTTCGCACGCATAGGCATCGATCATTTTGTCTGACCAAGTCGGAGGAAAGATCGTATGCGGGTTGCTTGTTGATGGATGACTGGCGCCGCGGTAAAGGGAGAACTTTTTTAAAAAATGCCATTATTTTGTCGAGGTCGCGTGTATCTATCATTATTTTTATATTCGGATATAATAGGTGCCCCTTTTTACTTTGACAAGTGCCCCGTTTTCATTTTAATAAATGTCCCTTTCCCCTTCCTAAAAGTGCTCCTCTTCAGGAGCAAGATTTGCCCCATTTTTACCTCTGAACAGTGCCTCTGTTACTTTAACACGTGCCCCTCTTCTTTCCTAATAAGTGCCCCCTTTCCCTTTCTTATAAATGTCATCTTTTCAACTCCAATAATTTAAATACCCCTAACCCCTAAGGTATGAGAATTTTCCTATTCCCTTCTGATAGTGCCCATTTTCCTTTCTACTAACTGCCCCTTTTCACCTCTGATAAGTGCCCATGTGTATGCTTGGAAGTAAGCAACTAGGTGGCGACGGCTTTAAGTCGTCTCCGAGGTACTTGGCAATAAGGACTAAGGCATGGAAACTCGTGACCTTCCGGTTACAAGACCGCTGCTCTACTACTGAGTCAATGCGCCTTCTAGTTCAAAGAATCGAAGCAGCTTTGTGTAATAACTGGAAACTTTTTTCTACCACTATAATGAAAGGTGGTGGAGCCGGGAGGGGGCAAGGGGGCACAATGTCCCAAGTTTCTTAAGAACGAAGTGTGCCCCTTTTAGAAATACATCCGCTTTTTTCAAAGCTAACAACTTCCCTTCTCTAGGCCAAGGTAATCAATTGACCTTTCTTCACGAATATAAAGACTGAGACAACGTTTGATCTTTCAAACTAAACTCAAATGCATTTCCATTACCAAATGTTATTCATGTTAAAAAGACTGGTACATAATGACGATACGTGCTATATGACAAGACGTTGTTACCATCCCTCATCTTCCCAGAAACAATAGACTTCTCATAGCCTCCCTAACTTATGCCCTAATTTAAAGCGACTGAGAGCCTTCTTTCTTCAAACTTCCTCCAAAACTCGCTCGCTTCGCGATTAGTTTATCTCATTAAGAAGCACATTGAAGGTCTTATTTATTATTTCATTATGAGATTGTGCTTAAAACCCCATCTGGATAAGTTCGTCTAATAATGAAAAGCAATCGTCCGTAATGTGACCTCAAAAACCTAACAGTTTTGAGTCGCTTGCTTAGCTCACTCGCAAAGGAATATTTAGACCATCACACACAACAGCATAGTATGATGCTGAAGTAATATCTTGGACCAAGTAAAGAGTAAATCTTGAAAATCATTCCTGATAATGTATTAATTACGCTTTAGGATATATAAATATATCGCTTTGATGTTACCCTTTGTAGGTTCCTTTTTTCTTCCAAAGAGTGCCCTTTTAAAATTGTTTAATGGTGCCCCCCCCTCCCCAATTTGAAAAAGACGATCTGCCGCCGCTTTATTTTTCCTATGGTATTGTTTTGACTATATAGGCTTGTAAGAAATCTATTATTGCATTCTTTGAGTTTTGCATGTCTTGTCAAGAAAGTGGTGTATACAATTTTTTGCTTTAACATTTTGTCACTCCCTTGTCTCTCTTCTTTCTCTTCTTTCTCCTCTCTATTATCTCGATTTTTCCCTCTCCCCCTCTCCCCCTCTCCCCTCTCCCCCTCGCATCTCTGTCTCCCACTCTATCTCTCTTTGTAATTCTTTTAACATACTCCCCCGGTCGCTACGCTCCCTCGCATATGATACGGAATTTAACGCTAAACACTATTATAGATAGCTCACATTTCCGAAGGTTCGTTATATCCTTCAGAATCATGAACCCTTTTTAATTTTTGGAACTACAAACCTTTTGAATAAAAATCATTTAGAATAAGAAAACCTCAGATTGATAAACTTTTGGACTAACTGACCTTCGCAAATATTCACCTTCGGAAATATAACTCTTTGGGGGGAAAAGACATGTAACCGATCTTGATGACTTCTAAGTTCGTGTATATCTATAGCCTAATAAAGAAGTATAGTTGAACAAAAGATAGATTGATTAATTCTACTTTACAATGATCCGCCATATATCTTTTTCCCATTGAATACAAAGTCTCTCAAATCAAAATAAAGTCATCAGTTATCAAAACATCTGGCCAACCCCATCGGTCCTATCAATCATTGCACACGAACGAAATTGATCAAAGAGGCTCAGATGAAGAAAGTGGCGAGGAATAATTCCATAAAAGGGAAGCCATAATCGGTTCGAGTCATCACTTCATGAGCTGATCTCACCCGCAACAAGCTGCCTTCAGATTTGTTCAGAACCTTCTCACCAGATTGGTAAGCATCTGTTTTCTACTTTGCAGACTATAATTACAGAACTTTACTTAATAAGCGATTTTTCGATAATATTTTTTTGGGACTCATTTCTTAATCTTACTTCGTTCAAATGGCATAATGTTAGTTTCTTTATCATTCACAAATACAATGCATATATTCTACAACCTGCCTTATAGGTTTAATAACTTGTAGTTCAAAACTTTGATGTTTAATCTTTACCCTTGATTTGTTATGTTTCCTTTTACATATTATAATGATGATATTATTAGTCTTCGGACTACAATCGTGTATCAGTGTATGAAGATATCAATTATGTAGAGGTGATGTGGTCTTGTGGATGAGTCAATCAAGTCCGGATTACGTAATGCATCGTTATAATGTTTGCACATTTTAATAGGTGTTGGACAAGTCTATTGAAATCGCTTTTCAGTTTGATTTTGCGAAGGTCTTTGCAATCGTATATACTGATATCATCACCCACCTATCTATCTCTAAAGTAACCTTTTTATGGCACCCTGGGCAAATAATAAATTTGCGCCGCCCCTGTCCAAAGTTATGAACTTAGATTCTAACAAGCTTAGTTCTCATTAATATCGTTCAGAAATTATAGAATGTAGTGAAAATGATTTTAATGTATTTAATCCGGGAATTGGTAACCCAAACCTTTATTAGTCTATGAGTTATCCACGCGAGGGAGGAAAAGCGACCATGCGGTGAAATTGATTGACTGATTTTATTTGCTAATTTATTGTTTAGGCTTGAGTAAATTTGCATTATGGAACATACAAAATAGAAAGAAAATACCTTCATGTGATAACGTGTTGGGATATGAATAGAATTACACTGATTTGTTGACAACTTTCTTAAGTTTAATACTCATGTCAATTTTTGAAAAATCTGTAGATTGGCACATTCTGTTTTTCTGTATTTCCAATAGAGAGATTTCTAACGGGACAGGCTCTTTTTTATTTGTAAATTAAATCTATGCAAAATTTTCATTTTCACCATTCAAAACACGATTTCTTAAGCGTTTTACAATTTGGGGGGAAAAATTCCAACCGACGGTGTTTCAATTCTTTCTATATTCTAGCAGTATAATAAGGACGAACATTTTCGAGGAATTTAGCACAGAAATACGGTACCAGAACATTGGGGATAACTCCCAATTCTCGTTTCTTTTGTTCATCTTTTTAAAAACCAAACAGAATAGCCTTTCACATATTGCAGGCTGCTTCCCAAGCTAAACTAGTCAAGATGATGATCAAAGTAGCTCTTGTGCTCTGTGCTATTGTGGCAACCAGTATAGTGTGCGCCAAGGATTTTGAAGAGCAAGATGCATTGGACACCTGTAAGTACATAAGTCAGCCAGGGACGTCAATGCTTGAAAAGTTTTGACCGCCCCCTTAAGAAGTCTGTCAGAAAATCTCTAAGCTATTGTCAGAAAAGTTGTGAAATTAAGACATTTCGTTAACACATATTATTGTCGTACGACCCTATTTTACTCGGGGGAAGGGGCGGGGGCAGTAAGAATATAATGTGTTTTCCAGGCACGGGTACTCTAAATGCGTTTTAACAAACTCAACAAACTTTCCTTGTTTCCCTCTCATTTTTTGCCTATTAATTTGACACCCTAAATGCGTCACTCGCCTTAACCAGTCAAAACTTGTTTTGGTCGCGCGTATGTACATCGATATATATTTGAAAGCTCCCCCATGTTTTTTTTCTTTGTTTTCATTACATCTCGTTTCTATGGCAACCATGCAGTGTTGAATCTGATGCTCTCGGAGGAGGCTGCATCTCCTGATGACGCTGTGGCCTTGCAGAGCTGGTTCCACCACCATCATATACATCATCATTATCATCATTTCATACACCATTATGGCCTCCATGTTGCACGGAACGTATGCAGGGGGTTTGCTCATTCTCCAGAAGAAGCTCGTAAGTAGCCACACTCATATTTTTCTTTTTGCCCCCCGAAATTTTAAAATGGGGGGTTAGGGGGGGGGGGGGGGTAAGAGGGGTAAGGGGGCGGGGTAAGGGGGTGAGGAGTACTTAATTATTATTATTATTTTTTTAATATTTTTTTTTACACTAACAGAAAAATTGCGTACGCGTTCGCATGTGATTAACACAGTATTATCCCGTTCGCTGGATTCTATTGCTACTTGCTTATAAGAACATATAATTAGTGCCTTGTCGGCTATTAAACCCACAACCTTCGCATCTCCAGTAAGTGTTTTAAGCCCCCCCCCCCCTCCCCAACAAAAAAAAAAAAAAAAAAGGAAGGAGGCCCTTTTTTCTTCTCAAAATAGCCGCCCGGCACATTTCCCCAAGACGTCCATGATAGCCGCCAGCTTTTATATTTTATTCTAATTTTTTTCTCCGAAAAAATATCATTTTAGCAGTATGTTTTTTGTGTTTTTCCTTTAAAAAAAAAAGAAAGAAAAAAGAAGAAAAAAGGTGGCCTACTTTCATCAAACTTTCAAATTTCATGTTCATCTTAGGTGCTAAACTTCTGGCTGCGATCCCAGAGATGAAAGAAGAGGATCTCAGCGAAGAGTATCTTCGATCGATCTGTGCTGGTCACTACTTTGGCCGTTAGACTCGGTACGTATATTTGTACAATCCCAATAAACAAAATCACGTGAAAATCACGTCAATATCAAGGTATCGACTTGAGGAGAGTTACGTTCTTCAAACACCGGACATTTACGAAAATGTGTTAATACGTTTATTGCACTAGGTCACTTAAAACACACGTACACTAAATCACGCAATTGTCACTGCAATATCACCATTATAATAACGTGATTATCCCTACCTTGGAGACCATGGTTTGAAAACCTAATACTCCCGTGTTTTTTTGGTTATGAAATTACATGTTCATAAACGAAATTATCGCGTCACAGAAACACGTGAAGAGTTAGTGATAGTTTTAGTCAAAATATATGCGTGAAATTCACGTGAATATTACGTCGAAGAGGAAATATATTACTGTAACCCGCGTTCAACCCAATAATTACGCAAATGTTACACAATAAATGAACCAAAATAATGACTTTCTCATCCCGTTTCTGAACATCGTGTTTTGGATCTTCCATAATTACGTCCAGGCGCGCCGGAAGCAGTTTGGGATTAGAGGGGGTGGGGTTAAGGGGGGGGGGGGGTGGTTGCAAACATCCCAGAGGAGAAAGCTAGTTGCAACTGGTCCAGTTGATGAACCAGTTAATGCCAACTGGTAACCCCGGAAATTGAAATGGGCTAAATGATCCAGTTGATCCAGACCAGTTAGAATTCAACTGGTCTAGCTGAGCCATTAGAACCATTTGGAAAAACTTCCAACCAGTTGAACGGCAACAACACTTCAATTCTGGTACGTCTGTATTTCCAATGTAAAGGGCATTGGTAATAAGTAGACTTACATAATTTAATTAATCGAAATTTTTTCATACACTTGTATTTTATTGAAATTATTTTAGTTCTAGTTAATGTTTTCCTTATTCATGTTTAATTAAATGTAATTCATACGAAGTAGCGAAATGTCCTAATAACTGGTAATTTATATTTGTAGTATTTTCGAAATGAATTGCATATAACTAAATCATCAGTAATTAAGAAATATGCTGTGAATTCAGATAAATTGTTTAAAAAACATAGATCTGCACGCACCCCATATTCAATATGCAAATTAATTGGTGTCAGCTGGTTCAACTGGAAACATGCCAACAGTCAGCCAGCAGTCATCAACTGGTGCAACTGGAAATAGGCACACAGATCAGTTATCAACTGGTGCAATGAAAACATGCCAACAGTCAGTTATCAACTGGTGAAAATAGAAATATGCCAACAGACACGGGATTATCACCACGGAACTAAAATGGTAACTGTGAAACCATCAAGACACCCAAGAATAACTCATTTTTCACACCTGGAAATCACGGATTACCCAGCTTAGATTAATAATCCGTTTGAGTCACGAAATCATCACCGCGGAACTGCTGGCAACTTTGACTACCATTTACATAGGTGTTTTAAGACACCTAATAATTACTAATTTTCCACACCTAAATATCACGAATTTACAGCTTAGATTAGTAATCAGTTTTAGCTACGTGATCATCACCAATAAAGTTATGGTAACTTTGAAACCATTTAAAAAGGTGTTTTAAGACACCTAATAATTACTAATTTTTCACACCTAAAAGTCACTTATGCCCAGCTTAGATTAATAATCCGTTTGAGTCACGAGATCATCACCGCGGAACTGCTGGCAACTTTGACTACCATTTAAATAGGTGTTTTAAGACACCTAATAATTACTAATTTTTCACACCTAAATATCACGGATTCACAGCTTAGATTAGTAATCAGTTTTAGCTAAGTGATCATAACCAAGAAAGTTATGGTAACTTTGAAACCATTTAAAGAGGTGTGTAAGACACCTCAGAATTACTAATTTAATATAACTAGAGATTCACGGACAGAACAATAAGACGATTAGCCGGTGTAAGTAACGTGATTATTACCATCAACCTTGGATAACCTGTGAAACCAATCGATTAAGGTGCTTACAAGACCAAATAATTACTTATTTATCACCACCATCGGTTAACGGACAAAACACTCGTTGCTTGGTCAAGTGGTTATTTGGTCATAAACACGTGATTTACAGAGGTAAGTGGAATCACGTTACTCCAGTCGCGTGATAAATTGGTGGTTTTTAGGTTAGATGAAAACGTGAACAGGAGTACCTTTTTTGTTTAAATGAAAGCACGTGTCGATAACGTTTAAATTTAGTTCAAAAGGCACCATACTTGAAAATCACTTAAAATACACTCCCAAAAGAGGTTACTTTTTAGTGTTTTGTTTATTGGGATAACAATAACAAAATAATTGTAGTGCATGTGTTCAACCAATGATTTTCCACTCACAGTATATATATACAGAGCTGCATTTTAATCATCAAAATTTCAAATTAGATTCAATCACTTTTTCTCAAGTATTTTTTTGTAATGTAGGAGAGGGGGGGGGGGGGGAGGTAGTGGCAAGCGGGCAGATTAAAACTATAAATGAGTATTAAAACAATCCACCACTTATAAACCTTTTACATGTATTTTGCTTTAACAATTTAGATACCTGTCAAGTCTCAAGTAAGCAATGTTTTAGCCTCTTGTCGATGCCCTCGCGCTGTTGGAGTCTCTAAATTCTGACGAGCGAAGCGAGTCAGAGAAACCGAGGCGCTTGCGCGGAGGGCCTCTTGACAAGTGATCTGAATTTCTTATGTTTTACTTTGTTTGGCGAATATTCCGACCCAGCAGAGTTCGGTGAAAGTCATCCAATCAGAGAGAGCTACTATGACGTAATATCTACCGCTCTGTGCGAATTCCTTCCGTGAGAGCGAGACTGGCCGCCTAGTTGTAGTCTGCAAGCACAAACCCTGGTCAGTCGTAAAAGAGAGTGTGCACTATAAGACTACCATATGCCACGTACTATAGCTGCTCCTGACCTATATTGGTACAACCAGTAGGTACCAGTAGATAGCTGGGCTAGGCTTCTCTCAAGGCACAATGATTTTTTTATAAAGTGTCAAATTAGGGTCTGTGCTTGCAGACTAGCCTAGTTGGGCAATTCCGAACACACACGTACACACACACAATCGCTGCGGTCTAGACATGCATAATTCAGTAGGAAATCGGGTCTCATGAATATATAATTCAGATCACTTGTCAAGAGGCCCTCCGCGCAAGCGCCTCGGCTTCTCTGACTCGCTTCGCTCGTCAGAATTTAGAGACTCCAACAGCGCGAGGGCATCGACAAGAGGCTAGCAATGTTTAAGACTAGACGTCTACACATACTATGTCGCTTAAGGAAATGCAACCTCCGACAATCTGAACTCGCAAATGTTTATGTAATGTACATCAGACCAGTATTGGAATATGCTGCCCCTATCTGGTCATCAGCAATTACTACACAACAGTCTGCTGACCTAGAGCGCGTCCAAAAAAGGGCCTGTCGTATTATCCTGAGCGGTTATACTTCCTACACTTCGGCCCTTGAAACACTAGGCATCCCATCCCTTGAAGCACGCAGACAAACTCTGCTCTCTAACTTTGGTCTTCGTCTTCTCTCCTCTCGACACCGAGATCTCCTGCCCGAGTTCCGAGGGCAGACAACGACTCGTCAGCTTCGGAATTCCAACGAACTCAATATCCCAATGTGTAGAACCACGAGATATCGCAAATCTGTGATCCCTACCATTGTACGGCTGATAAACTCAGATTTGAAATAAGCTTGAAAGAATAATAATCCATTCGTTTCGTTTGATTTTATCAATTCAAATTTCAAAATAATATATATACCTGTATTTTTAAAATTTGCAATCCAACAATGCAAATCTGTTAATCACATCTAGTTTGTTGCCGAATTTTTCCTCTTTTTTAACAACTATTTTTTTTTTTTTTTTTTTTTTTTTTTTTTTTTTTGTAAATTCAATTTTCAATAATAATTATATATCTTAATATGGATCTTGAAGCAAATACATGTGTATTAACCATGTTTTGCCTAATTATGTAAAGGTTTTTATATTTAAATATCTATAATGAATATATCAATGACATTGCGGTTTGTGCTTTAGGATTCATTGTTTAATTTTGTAGTCGGTTTAAGTTGGTCTCAAAAATTATGCTGCATTTACATTGTACGGTATTATATTTGTATTACAGTACATTTTATTACACTTTATCCGATTATATATCTAGTTCTCCATTTAAGCCTATTTATCTGTCCTACTCTTTATTTGTCCCTTTTATTGTGTAGTCTCCTCGCCAGCTTCTCTTTCTCATTTCTCTATGCCCTCTCTCTCTCTCCCCCTCTCTGTTATTATCTTACCAGTCCTTCTAATCTTCTGTTACATTTCTCTTATTGCCTTCTGCTACGCGATCGTTCTCCTTCAATTATCCTTTAGTCATCCGTTTTAATCTCTTCTCTTGTTTCTCTTCTCTTCTTTTCTTTGATCATATCCTTGATTATTTATTGTGAATCGCCATTTATATGTATATGTTATGATTTTGAATGTATCTTTTGTAAATTCAATTTTTTTCAGCCTCTGGCTGCTATTTGAATGTTTTTTTAATCAATAAACCATATCAAATAATATTATGGGCCTATACGAGACTGTGGACATGAGCCAGTGGCGGATCCAGGGAGTAAAAACACGTTAATTTTACTTTTATTTGGAGACGGGCCCCTCCCCTGGTGCTTAAGGTGCTTTTCTCCCACTTCCTCTCTGTCTCCTCTCTCTCTCTCTCTCTCCCCCTCTCCCGTCTATCTCTGACTCCCTTTTCTCCACAATTTCCTCATTATTTTTCAAACAAAATATATTGTCTTCTTTTATTTCTCACATAGGAAGGGACCATGAGGCAACATCCGAGACACTTGATGTTGATTCTTCCTGAAGAAACAATGAAATAAAAGCAAGAAATTGTCACCTTCCATCGTGTTTTTGCAACTTCCTAATATAATTAGAATCTTCGTTATCCCTCCTGTATTGTTTAATCCCTTAAACCTTGTTAATCCTCTAAAATGAAATGATGGTGAGTGGTTTTCATTATTAATACATATTTTGCCTTTACTTCCATGTATCCATTCATTATACATCTTTCCAAGGTGTATACAAATATGTAGGGTTACAAGTATAACCATTCTTAAAATCTAGCGTAATAATATACATCTTTTCATCATAAGCTTCAAGTTAAAAATATTCTCCCGGTTTTGCTTTTTTCGCCCTAAAAAACAATAAGACATTGTAAGCATGGTATTAGGGGAATAACTAATAGTATTAGAAATAATGCCGATAATAAAATCACATGAACATGACAAACATACCTAGCGTGTTTGTTTTGGGTATTTTGTTATATGCTATAAAGCCAGTAGTGTATGATTAATAGAATAATGTTGGCATACAGGGAAAATACGAAAAACAACACTTCGATAAGAAAAAGTGAGAGAGGCAAAAATAAAACAAAGTGAAAAGGTTGAATAGAAGAAAAAAGATAGAGAAAGAACAGAGGGGGCACGGGAGAGCAGGGAGAAGAGCGCGAAAGAAAGAGAAAGTGTGAGAGAGAGAGAGAGGAAGTGATGTAAGGAAAGCGGAAAAAAGAGAAAGAGGAGTGATAACAGAATAGACTACTAAAGACAGAAAGGGAAAGAATGAAAGAGAGAGAGAGAGAGCGAGAGATGCAGTGACAGGGGAGAAGCAATAAATATGCAATTGAGGAGCATTTAAGACGGAGAGAAGAGAGAGGGGAGCAGAGAGTGTGAGTGCGTGCGCAAGCGTATGCGTGTGTGTGTGTGTGTGTGTGTGAGGCACCCACATTACTCAGTTGGTCTGTATAAAAGTATCTGCAAAATGAGACTACAATACGCTCTGTACTTAAGTTTGACCATGGACCTATACGGATGGACATTCAACGTGATTCTTTCTTTGATCCAATGATAGTCACCGCCTCCTGATTATGTGCATCTTAATGAGAACATTCAGCTGTTTTAACAATAACGACTGCGTAAGCATTTTCGGTCATTGACAAAGGAGCAGTTTAACTCTCTTGGATTTTGTTTGGATGGTGTGATCTGTAAGAGTGTGTCTTAAATACAAAAAACATCCCCAATGGGGAGCAGCAAAGTTGAAAAGCAGACGATTTTGGTGATATGAAATGTATAATTATTGATTTGCACACTTTCGCACACACCCATGACCTTATAAAACAATTAGAAGGCCATGATCTGTATAAGCCCTGTGCGTTGTAACTCTGGAATATTATAAGGAAATTGGGGGAAACGGGATTTTAACCCGTTGACTACTGAATTATGTAGTTCCCATAGGCTTAATACAGGTACCACCAGGTTCCAGTAGGCAATGGGTTAAATCACAACCAATCCAAATATAACCTCTATCTGGTTATCAACATGTTTTTCAAAATAAAATATAGTACACGGAACAACAATTTCCGATTATAAACCAGAACTGCACATCGATTTTCTATGATTTAAGCGAGTTATTATCTTCTGCGCATGTATATTAACATGTGTAAAATCACTATCTTGATTCTGTCCCGGCTTTTTGGCGGTGACCATCATGAGATCAAAGTGGAGAAACATGTCCGGAAGGTTATTGAGACGACATTGACGGAGACAATCACAATGAATAAGCCAGTTCATAGATACAATCTGCGCATGGGCAAAAATGGTAAAACCCACAGAGATGAATACTGGATATGCGCTCATGAAAGTTATGTAACATTATTCATTTATGCACCAACGGTACATTCTATGATACGAAGGTGGAAGTATTCTTTTCAAGAGGACAAACAAAAGGTATTCATGAAGCACATCTAGGACTTTGGCAGTTATTATTCTAAGATGCTCAAAGTGGAACTTCTCCATGTGTAAAAGATCTGTGGATGTTTGGGGTCATTTGTACCATGTGCTATCTGTAAACTCCCTTATTCGTTAAGAAAACGATGAATGTCCATCCGTAATAGCTCCATGGTTTGACACAGCAAGAAACTGACAGGTCTAGGCTCTGCTCAAGGCTTTAGGAATTGTGGGTTTGTGGTAAAGTGTTATATCAGAGTATATGCTTGCAAACTATGGAGGAGCAGAGGAGCACTTAGGCCCCTAGAGTCTTAGGGGTCTGATCCCAAAATATTTGAAAAACTGAAGCCATTTTTGTTGTTGTAATGGCATACTGAAATCCACAGCTACACTCTAAAAAATACTGGGCAAAAAATTGCCCAATTTTTTACCCAACATGAGGGCGATTATTTGTCCATTAAGATTTTGCATGATTTACCCAGTGTTGGATAAAAAGAAAATACCCAAACTTTAACCAGCAAAAATTTACCACATGAGAAATTCACCCAATTCACTCGACCACGACAACTCTAATATAAGAATATAACCATATTGTTGAATAATATTTGTCCGACTTACGTTTGCCCAGTAACATCTGCCCAATTTTTTTTGAACATTTAATTGGGTAAATACATGTAGTAAAAACCGGGTTGGGAAAAAATAGCCCAAATGTTGGACAAAAATGGCCCAACTTTAATTTGCCCAATAACATTACCTAATTATTTCATCGGCAACTACATGGTTGGTAGGAAATAACCCAATTATTGGACAAAATTTGCCCAACTCTTTTTTACAGTGTATGATGGACAAAATACATGTATCTGGACCTACAAATGGGAGGGCCAAGATAATGCACAATATTTAATTTCCTTAACCCTAATCACACATCATGGATATCAAGACTACACATTCAACAACATGTTGTCTTGAAAACTTGTATTAAAATAGGTAAATGGATATTTTTGTTCCTTGTGTTCTAGTGGTAATAACCATTTTAAAGTAAGCATATGGTTGAATATAAGGGGTAGCAATTTGGCCAAATCTAACTACATAAAAGAAGCGAGATGAAGTTTATTCAAATAATAACTTGTTAAAACCTGTATAGCATTGGGACATCAGCATGATATAAAGCCCTCATAAAAGTTTGGAAACTCAATGATTATCAATATCACCTTGTTTAGTAATAATAGAAAGTGTGTTTATTCATTTTGTAAATGATGTCATATTGTAGCCATGGAATAGCAGTACATTAGAATAAGGGGGCAGTATCAAAAGGAATAGTTGCAGAATGCACTGGTTGATAGTGGAATCGTATGCAAAGAACTTATTTTTCTTTGAAATAAGATCATTTTAGCGGTATGTAGCCGTATACTAATCAACCACATTTGTATTATCTAGTATCAAGCAAACCTGAGTTAAATTAAAAATACTTTCTTCATATCAAAGCGAGTTTAAAATGCGTCTGTTAGTTTTTGTAATTACTGCTCATAGAACTGTATGTAGGATGTTTCCCTCTTTTTTATAACAAAAAATACATATAAATTAGATAAATAAAGTAGCATCAAAGCATTTGTAATATAAGCCCACAGCTGTTTTCTTTTTCTAAAAAAACAAGGTGTAAAAACTACTTACTGCTGCACACTTACATTTTACAAGCACACATGTTTATACCCGACAATTACAAGTTTGTTTCTTTTAAATGCCCTGATGTAACGCTGACTTCAAGTATAACTATGATATCTATTTAAAAACAAAAAGAAATAAGGAATTTTTGAAAAAAACACAAATATTGAAGCGCCACAAAAATTGGTGCGAGCGGGGACGAGAAATACGTAATTTGTTATACTTGGCCTTATTACAATCAGAGGTCTTGAGGCCACAATTCAAATTATAAGATTACTGTCTAAAATATTCAGGAAAATTTACCAAACATTCACCAACCAACTTTCTTGTGTGTAATTCTGAACAATGGCCTCAACCTGAAGTTGGAATAATATTACTATAAAAATTCATAAAAATAAAAAAAAACAGGCCCTAGTTCTGTTTAAAAAAGGTTTGTATTTCTTCATATAAATTATCTTTCAATGTATTTTGATTTTTATTATGTATTCAGAACTGCATAAATAAATGAAATGATATATACAAACTATTAAAAACATAATACATTCCATGACCTACAAATTAAAGCTGTCTTTTTCTTATGCAGCTTACAATGAACAATGTAAAGCTAGGCTATAACCAACATAGATTAGTATTAATAGGACCCATTGTAGTATTCTATTAAATAATGGATTGCTTTGATGAAATCCGATTGCGGAAAAGTTTGAAACCCCACCCGAGTCTACCCATATGTGAAGCCGGATATATTCTCAAAGTCGCACGGATAGGCATTGATCGTTTTGTCAGGCCAAGTCGGAGGAAAGATCTTATGCGGGTTGTTTGTTGATGGATGGCTGGCGCCGCGGTAAAGGGAGGCCCGGACGGGAGGACTTTCGCACGCATAGGCATTGATCATTTTGTCAGGCCAAGTCGGAGGAAAGATCGTATGCAGGTTGTTTGTTGATGGATGACTGGCGCCGCTGTTAATGGAGAACTTAATAACAAAATAGCAATTATTTTTTCGAGGTCATAAGTGTATACATTATTAATTTGATATTTCAATCTAACCGATGCCCCTTTTACTTTGACAAGTCCCCCTTTTTCTCTTTAATCAATGTCCCATTTCCCTTCTATTAACTGCCCCTGTTCAGGTTTAAGATGTGCCCTCTTTTTACGTCTGAGAAGTGTATGTTTTACTTTAACACGCGCTCTTCTTTTCTAATAACTGAACCTTTTCTTTTTGTAAAAAGTGTCCCTTCCCCTTTCTTATAAATGTCGTCTTTTCAACTCCGATAAGTACCCCGATCCTGATCTGACAAGTTCTCTCCTTTACTTTGACAAGTGCCCCTTTTCATTTGTAATGAGTCCATTTTACCATCAAAGAACTGCCCCTTTCCACCTCTGATGAGTGCCTCTTTTAGGTATGAGAAATGTCCTATTCCCTTCTGATAGTGCCCATTTTCCCTTTTTAATAACTGCCTTTTCCCTTCTAATAAATGCCACTTTTCACATCTAATTAGTTTTCCTTGTTAGTTTTGATGTGATTGGCTTTTGATGTGAGTGCCCATCATTTGTTTTACCTACATTTCCCACTGCCGCTTACAAATTGTGCCCTTTTGCGATCATCTAAAGTCCCATATCTAGTTGGTTGGTTGGTTTTAACGTGACCAGGGGGCGATGGGTTAAGTCATTATCTCAGCGGGACTTGGTAGTAAGGACTAATGCCTTATCAAAAGGCGCTAGCGCATCGACCTGGTTTCGAACCCTACTGAGCCAATTCATGAACCTTCTAGTTTCAAAGAATCGGAGCAGCTTTGTGTAATAACTGGAATTTTTTTCTTCTACTACAAAAAAGGTAGTGGAGCCGGGATAAGGGCAGGGGGCACAATATCCCACATTTCATAAGAACAAAGTGTGCCCCTTTTAGAAAAACAACCGTGTTCCTTTTTTAAAGCTATAAAACGTCCCTTGCCTAAGCCAAGGTAATTCAATTGACCTTTGTTCAAAAATATAAAGTTTGAGACCACGTTTGATTTTTCAAACTCAACTCAAATGCATTTCCATTACCAAATGTCATTCATGTTAAAAAGACTGAGACAAAATTACGATACGTGTTATATGACAAGACGTTGTTATTATCCCTCATCTTCCCAGAAACAAGACACTTCTCATAGCCACCCAACATTTTCCCCTAATTTAAAGCGACTGAGAGCATTTTCCCCCTTCAAATCTCCTCCAAAACTAGCTCGCTTCGCTCGCTTACATTTATAGTTTATCTCATTAAGAAGCATATTGAAGGTCTTATTTATTATTTCATTATGAGATTGAAATAATAACGAAAAGTAATCGTTCGTAATGTGACCTCGAAAAACCTTACAACGTTTCGTCCATTGCTTCGCTCGCTCGCAAAGAAATATTTAGACCATCACACACAACAGCAGAGTATGATGCTGAAGTAATATCTTTGACCAAGTAAAGAGTAAATCTTGAAAATCATCCTTACAATGTAATGATTACGCTTTAGGATATTTAAATATTTCGCTTTGATGTTACCCTTTGTAGGTGCCTTTGTTCTTCCAAATAGTGCCGTTTTTAAATGGTGGCACCCCCCCTCACTTTGACAAAAACAGGCTCTGCCGCCCCTTTATTTTTACAATGTTATTGTCTTGACTAAAAATCTATTATTGCATTCTATGACTTTTGCATGTCTCGTCATCCGTTATTCACATTGATTTTCTTCTTTCTAAAGAAATAAGCTGGAAAATTAATTTAATTATAGGATACAATTTCAATTATTCCAATCTCAGAAAGAACTCAATATTTTCTCACTCCTCTGCCTCTTTTCTTCCTCTTCTTTCTCCTCTCTCTCATCTCGCTCTTTCACTCTCCCACTCTCTCCTTCTCTCCTCTGTCTCTCACTCTATCTTTCTGCATGTGCATAATTATTTTAACATACTTCCCCGGTCGCTACGCTCCCTCGCATACGATACGGAATTTAACGCAAAGATTTCCGAAGGTTCGTTAAATCTGCCATAATTAGGTTCATAATTACGAAAAATTTGAAATAGGGTTCTCTCTCGTTTTCGGGATTATGAACCTTCAGAATCATGAACCTTGTTTCATTTTTGGAATTACAAACCTTTTAAATCACAATCATTTGGAATAAAACACCTTCAGATTAATACATTTTGGGACTTACTGACCTTCGCAAATATGAATCTTTGGGGAAAAAGACATGTAACCGATCTTGATGACTTCTAAGTGCGTGTGTACATATAGTATAGTTTGAAAACGAGATAGATTGATTAATTCTACTTTCCAATGATCCGCCTATATATCTTTATTTCTTTTTCTCATTGAATACAAAGTCTCTCGAATCAAAATATAGTTATCAGTTATCAAAACATCTGGCCAACCCCAGCGGTCCTATCAATCATTACACACGAACAAAAATGATCAAAGACGCAAAGATGGGGAGAGTGGCGAGGAATAATTCCATAAAAGGGAAGCCATAATCGGTTCGAGTCGTCAATTCAGGAGCTCATCCCACCCGCAACAAGCTGCCTTCAGAACTCTCTCACCAGATTGGTAAGCATCTGTTTTCTACTTTGCAGACTATTATTTCAGAACTTCAGTTCATAACTGATTTTTCGATAATATGTTTTTTTGCCCACTTCTAAATCTTGCTTCGTTCAAATGGCATATTACTTGTTTCTTTATTATTCACCAATATAATGCATATATTCTACAACCTGCCTTATAGGTTTAATAACTTGTAGTTCAAAACTTTGATGTTTAATCTTTACCCTTGATTTGTTATGTTTCCTTTTACATATTATAATGATGATATTATTAGTCTTCGGACTACAATCGTGTATCAGTGTATGAAGATATCAATCATGTAGAGGTGATGTGGTCCTGTGGATGAGTCAATCAAGTCCGGATTACCTAATGCATCGTTATAATGTTTGCACATTTCAATAGGTGTTGGACAAGTCTATTGAAATCGCTTTTCAGTTTGATTTTGAGAAGGTATTTGCAATCGTATATACTGATATCATCACCCACCTATCTATCTCTAAAGAAACTTTTTTTATGGCACCCTGGGCATATAATAAATTTGCGCCGCCCCTGTCCAAACGTATGAGCTTAGATACTAACAAACTAAGTTCTCATTAATATCGTTCAAAATTTATAGAATGTAGTGAAAATGATTTTAACGTATTTAATCCGGGAATTGGTAACCCAAACCTTTATTAGTCTATGAGTTATCCACGCGAGGGAGGAAAAGCGACCATGCGGTGAAATTGATTGATTGATTTTATTCGTTAATTTATTGTTTAGGCTTGAGTAAATTTGCATTATGGAACATACAAAATAGAAAGGAAATACCTTCATGTGATAACGTGTTGGGATATGAATAGAATTGCACTGATTTGTTGACAACTTTCTTAAGTTTAATACTCATGTCAATTTTTGAAAAATCTGTAGTTTGGCACATTCTGTTTTTCTGTATTTCCAATAGAGAGATTCCTAACGGGACAGGCTCTTTTTTAATGTAAATTATATCTATGTAAAATTTTCATTTTCACCATTCAAAACGCGATTTCTTAAGCGTTTTACAATTTGGGGGGAAAAATTCCAACCGACGGTGTTTCTGATTTTGAAAATAGAAAAATGCTATTCTATTCAATTCTTTCTATATTCTAGCAGTATAATAAGGACGAACATTTTCGAGGAATTTAGCACAGAAATTCGGTACCAGAACATTGGGGATAACTCCCAATTCTCGTTTCTTTTGTTCATCTTTTTAAAAACCAAACAGAATAGCCTTTCACATATTGCAGGCTGCTTCCCAAGCTAAACTAGTCAAGATGATGATCAAAGTAGCTCTTGTGCTCTGTGCTATTGTGGCAACCAGTATGGTGTGCGCCAAGGATGTTGAAGAGCAAGATGCAGTGGACACCTGTAAGTACATAAGTCAGCCAGGGACGTCAATGCTTGAAAAGTTTTGACCGCCCCCTTAAGAAATCTGTCAGAAAATCCCTAAGCTATTGTCAGAAAAGCTGTGAAATTAAGACATTTCGTTAACACATAATATTGTCTTACGACCCTATTTTAATCGGGGGGAGGGGGGGGGGGGGAGTAAAAATATAATGTGTTTTCCAGGCACGGGTACTCTAAATGCGTTTTAACAAACTCAACCAACTTTCCTTGTTTTCCTCTCATTTTTTGCCTATTAATTTGACACCCTAAATGCGTCACTCGCCTTAACCAGCAAAAACTTGTTTTGGTCGCGCGTATGTACATCGATATATATTTGAAAGCTCCCCCATGGTTTTTTTCTTTGTTTTCATTACATCTCGTTTCTATGGCAACCATGCAGTGCTGAATCTGATGCTCTCGGAGGAGGCTGCATCTCCTGATGACGCCGTAGCCTTGCAGCGCCATCACCGTCATCACCATCATGGCCATCATGGTACGTATATTTGTACAATAACAATAACAAGATAATTGTAGTGCAGATGTTCAACCAATGATTTTCCACTCGCAGTATACATATACAGAGCTGCATTTTAATCATCAAAATTTCAAATTAGACTCAATCACTTTTTATCAAGTATTTTTTTTAAATGTAGGAGTGGGGAGGGGGGGGGGGGAGGTAGTGGCAAGCGGGCAGATCAAAACTATAAATGAGTATTAAAACAATCCACCACTTATAAACCTTTTACATGTATTTTGCTTTAAAAATGTAGATACCTGTCAAGTCTCAAGTAAGCGATGTTTAAGACTATAATATTATGGGCCTATACGAGACTGTGGACATGAGCCAGTGGCGGGTCCAGGGAGTAAAAACACGTTAATTTTACTTTTATTTGGAGACGGGCCCCTCCCCTGGTGCTAAAGGTGCTTTTCTCCCACTTTCTCTCTGTCTCACCCTCTCTCTCTCCCCCTCTCCCGTCTATCTCTGACTCCCTTTTCTCCACAATTTCCTCATTATTTTTCAAACAAAAAATATCGTCTTTTTTATTTCTCACATAGGAAGGGACCATGAGGCAACATCCGAATGTTGATTCTTCCTGAAGAAAAAATGAAATAAAAGCAAGAAATTATCACCTTCCATCGTGTTTTTGCAACTTCCTAATATAATTCGAATCTTCTTTATCACTTCTGTATTGTTTAAACCCTTAAACCATGTTAATCCTCTAAAATCAAATGATGGTGAGTGGTTTTCATTATTAATACATATTTTGCCTTTACTTCCATGTATCCATTCATTATACATCTTTCCGAGGTGTATACAAATTATGTAGGGTTACAAGTACAACCATTCTTAAAATCTAGCATAATAATACATCTTTTCATCATAAGCTTCAAGTTAAAAATTTGGTTTTACTCTTTTTTTTTCCCTAAAAAACAATAAGACATTGTAAGCATGGTATTAGGGGAATAACTAATAGTATTAGAAATAATACTGATAATAAAATCACATGAACATGAAAAACATACCTAGCGTGTTTGTTTTGTGGTATTTTGTTATATGCTATAAAGCCAGTAGTTTATCATTAATAGAATAATGTTGGCATACAGGGAAAATACGAAAAACAACACTTCGATACGAAAAAGTGAGAGAGGCAAAACTAAAACAAAGTGAAAAGGTTGAATAGAAGAATAAAGATAGAGAGAGAGAGAGAAGAGAGGGGGCACGGGAGAGCAGGGAGAAGAGCGCGAAAGAAAGAGAAAGTGTGTGTGTGAGAGAGAGAGAGAGAGAGAGAGGGAGTGAGGCAAGGAAAGCGGGAAAAAAGAGAAAGAGGAGTGATAACAGAATAGACTACTAAAGACAGAAAGGGAAATAATGAAAGAGAGAGAGAGAGAGGGCGAGAGATGCAGTGGCAGGGGATAAGCAATAACTATGCAATTGAGGAGCATTTAAGACGGAGAAAAGAGAGAGGGGAGCAGAGAGTGTGAGTGCGTGCGCAAGCGTATGCGTGTGTGTGTGTGTGTGTGTGTGAGGCACACACATTACTCAGTTGGTCTGTATACAAGTATCTGCAAAATGAGACTATAATACCATCTGTACTTAAGTTTGACCATGGACCTTTACGGATGGACATTCAACGTGATTCTTTCTTTGATCCAATGATAGTAACCGCCTCCTGATTATGTGCATCTTAATGAGAACATTCAGCTGTTTTAACAATAACGACTGCGTAAGCATTTTCGGTCATTGACAAAGGAGCAGTTTCACTCTCTTGGATTTTGTTTGGATGGTGTGCTCTGTAAGAGTGTGTCTTAAATACAAAAAACATCCCTAATGGGGAGCAGCAAAGTTGAAAAGCAGACGATTTTGGTGATATGAAATGTATTATTACTGATTTGCACACTTTCGCACACACCCATGACCTTATAAAACAATTAAAAGGCCATGATCTTTATAAGCCCTGTGCGTTGTAACTCTGGAATATTATAAGGAAATTGGGGGAAACGGGATTTTAACCCGTTGACTACTGAATTATGTAGTTCCCATAGGCTTAATACAGGGACCACCAGGTTCCAGTAGGCAATGGGTTAAATCACAACCAATCCAAATATAACCTCTATCTGGTTATCAACATGTTTTTCAAAATAAAATATAGTACACGGAACAACAATTTCCGATTATAAACCAGAACTGCACATCGATTTTCTATGATTTAAGCGAGTTATTATCTTCTGCGCATGTATATTAACATGTGTAAAATCACTATCTTGATTCTGTCCCGGCTTTTTGGCGGTGACCATCATGAGATCAAAGTGGAGAAACATGTCCGGAAGGTTATTGAGACGACATTGACGGAGACAATCACAATGAATAAGCCAGTTCATAGATACAATCCGCGCATGGGCAGATAAAGGTCATTTGTATCAAAATGTTTAAAACCCACAGAGATGAATACTGGATATGCGCTCATGAAAGATATGTAACATTATTCATTTATGCACCAACGGTACATTCTATGATACGAAAGTGGAAATATTCTTTTCAAGAGGACAAACAAAAGGTATTCATGAAGCACATCTAGGACTTTGGCAGTTATTATTCTAAGATGCTCAAAGTGGAACTTCTCCATGTGTAAAAGATCTGTGGATATTTGGGGTCATTTGTACCATGTGCTTTCTGTAAACTCCCTTATTCGTTAAGAAAACGATGAATGTCCATCCGTAATAGGTCCGTGGTTTGACACAGCAAGAAACCGACAGGTCTAAGCTCTGCTCAAGGCTTTAGGAATTGTGGATTTGTGGTAAAGTGATATATCAGAGTATATGCTTGCAAACTATGGAGGAGCAGAGGAGCACCTAGGCCCCTAGAGTCTAAGGGGTTTGATCCCAAAATATTTGAAAAACTGAAGCCATTTTTGTTGTTGCAATGGCATACTGAAATCCACAGCTACACTCTAAAAAATATTGGGCAAAAAATTACCCAATTTTTTACCCAACATGAGGGCAATTATTTGTCCATTAAGATTTTGCATGATTTACCCAGTGTTGGATAAAAAGAAAATATCCAAACTTTAACCAGCAAAAATTCACCCAATTCTCACGCTAATGTGTAGTATATTAGACTCTAGTTGGGCAGTTAAGTTGGATAAAATATTATATATATTATAAATAAAAGGACATTAGTGCAGCGGCGGGACTCGAACCGCGGATCCTGTGAACCACAGTCCTGTGTCACATCCACTCGACCACGACAACTCTAATATAAGAATATAACCATATTGTTGAATGATATTTGTCCGACTTACGTTTGCCCAGTAACATCTGCCCAACGTATTTTGAACATTTAATTGGGTAAATACATGTAGTAAAAACCGGGTTGGGAAAAAATAGCCCCAATGTTGGACTAAAATGGCTTTACTTTAATTTGCCCAATAACATTACCTAATTATTTCATCGGCAACTACATGCTGGTTGGTAGGAAATAACCCAATTGTTGGACGACAATTGCCAAACATCGATTTGCCCAGTAACACCTACCCAACCTATTTTTACCTTTCATGAGGTAACTTCATATAACAAATGGTTGGAAGAAAATAACCCAATTATTGGACAAAATTTGCCCAACTTTGATTTGCCCAGTAAAATCTGCCCAACTTTTTTTTTACTGTGTATAATGGACAAAATACATGTATCTGGACCTACAAATGGGAGGGCCAAGATAATGCACAATATTTTATTTCCTTAACCCTAATCACACATCATGGATATCCAGACTACACATTCAACAACATGTTGTCTTGAAAACTTGTATTAAAATAGGTAAATGGATCTTTTTGTGCCTTGTGTTCTAGTGGTGATAACCATTTTAAAGTAAGCATAATTATGGTTGAATATAAGGGGTGGCAATTTGGCCAAATTTAACTACATAAAAGAAGCTATATGAAGTTTATTCAAATAATACCTTGTTAAAACCTGTATAGCATTGGGACATCAGCATGATATAAAGCCCTCATAAAAGTGGAAACTCAATGATTATCACTTTGTTTAGTATCAATAGAAAGTGTGTTTATTCATTTTGTAAATTATGTCATATTGTAGCCATGGAATAGCAGTACATTAGAATAAGGGGGCAGTATCAAAAGGAATAGTTGCAAACTGCACTGGTTAATAGTGGAATTGTATGCAAAGAACTTTCCTTTCCTTGAAATGAGACCATTTTAGCGGTACTCAGCCGTATACTGGTCAACCACATTTGTATTATGTAGTATCAAGCAAACCTGAGTTAAATTAAAAATACTTTCTTCATATCTATTTGAAAACAAAAAGAAATGAGGAATTGTTGAAGGAAAAAAAAAATATTGAAGCGCCACCAAAGATTGGTGCGGGCGTGGACGAGAAATACGTAATTTGTTATACTTGGCCTTATTACAATCAGAGGTCTTGAGGCCACAATTCAAATTATAAGATTACTGTCTAAAATATTCAAGAAAATTTACCAAACATTCACCAACCAACTTTCTTGTGTGTAATTCTGAACAATGGCCTCAACCTGAAGTTGGAATAATATTACTATAAAAATTCATAAAAATAAAAAAAAACAGGCCCTAGTTCTGTTTAAAAAAGGTTTGTATTTCTTCATATAAATTATCTTTCAATGTATTTTGATTTTTATTATGTATTCAGAACTGCATAAATAAATGAAATGATATATACAAACTATTAAAAACATAATACATTCCATGACCTACAAATTAAAGCTGTCTTTTTCTTATGCAGCTTACAATGAACAATGTAAAGCTAGGCTATAACCAACATAGATTAGTATTAATAGGACCCATTGTAGTATTCTATTAAATAATGGATTGCTTTGATGAAATCCGATTGCGGAAAAGTTTGAAACCCCACCCGAGTCTACCCATATGTGAAGCCGGATATATTCTCAAAGTCGCACGGATAGGCATTGATCGTTTTGTCAGGCCAAGTCGGAGGAAAGATCTTATGCGGGTTGTTTGTTGATGGATGGCTGGCGCCGCGGTAAAGGGAGGCCCGGACGGGAGGACTTTCGCACGCATAGGCATTGATCATTTTGTCAGGCCAAGTCGGAGGAAAGATCGTATGCAGGTTGTTTGTTGATGGATGACTGGCGCCGCTGTTAATGGAGAACTTAATAACAAAATAGCAATTATTTTTTCGAGGTCATAAGTGTATACATTATTAATTTGATATTTCAATCTAACCGATGCCCCTTTTACTTTGACAAGTCCCCCTTTTTCTCTTTAATCAATGTCCCTTTTCCCTTCTATTAACTGCCCCTGTTCAGGTTTAAGATGTGCCCTCTTTTTACGTCTGAGAAGTGTATGTTTTACTTTCACACGCGCTCTTCTTTTCTAATAACTGAACCTTTTCTTTTTGTAAAAAGTGTCCCTTCCCCTTTCTTATAAATGTCGTCTTTTCAACTCCGATAAGTACCCCGATCCTGATCTGACAAGTTCTCTCCTTTACTTTGACAAGTGCCCCTTTTCATTTGTAATGAGTCCATTTTACCATCAAAGAACTGCCCCTTTCCACCTCTGATGAGTGCCTCTTTTAGGTATGAGAAATGTCCTATTCCCTTCTGATAGTGCCCATTTTCCCTTTTTAATAACTGCCTTTTCCCTTCTAATAAATGCCTTTTTTCACATCTAATTAGTTTTCCTTGTTAGTTTTGATGTGATTGGCTTTTGATGTGAGTGCCCATCATTTGTTTTACCTACATTTCCCACTGCCGCTTACAAATTGTGCCCTTTTGCGATCATCTAAAGTCCCATATCTAGTTGGTTGGTTGGTTTTAACGTGACCAGGGGGCGATGGGTTAAGTCATTATCTCAGCGGGACTTGGTAGTAAGGACTAATGCCTTATCAAAAGGCGCTAGCGCATCGACCTGGTTTCGAACCCTACTGAGCCAATTCATGAACCTTCTAGTTTCAAAGAATCGGAGCAGCTTTGTGTAATAACTGGAATTTTTTTCTTCTACTACAAAAAAGGTAGTGGAGCCGGGATAAGGGCAGGGGGCACAATATCCCACATTTCATAAGAACAAAGTGTGCCCCTTTTAGAAAAACAACCGTGTTCCTTTTTTAAAGCTATAAAACGTCCCTTGCCTAAGCCAAGGTAATTCAATTGACCTTTGTTCAAAAATATAAAGTTTGAGACCACGTTTGATTTTTCAAACTCAACTCAAATGCATTTCCATTACCAAATGTCATTCATGTTAAAAAGACTGAGACAAAATTACGATACGTGTTATATGACAAGACGTTGTTATTATCCCTCATCTTCCCAGAAACAAGACACTTCTCATAGCCACCCAACATTTTCCCCTAATTTAAAGCGACTGAGAGCATTTTCCCCCTTCAAATCTCCTCCAAAACTAGCTCGCTTCGCTCGCTTACATTTATAGTTTATCTCATTAAGAAGCATATTGAAGGTCTTATTTATTATTTCATTATGAGATTGAAATAATAACGAAAAGTAATCGTTCGTAATGTGACCTCGAAAAACCTTACAACGTTTCGTCCATTGCTTCGCTCGCTCGCAAAGAAATATTTAGACCATCACACACAACAGCAGAGTATGATGCTGAAGTAATATCTTTGACCAAGTAAAGAGTAAATCTTGAAAATCATCCTTACAATGTAATGATTACGCTTTAGGATATTTAAATATTTCGCTTTGATGTTACCCTTTGTAGGTGCCTTTGTTCTTCCAAATAGTGCCGTTTTTAAATGGTGGCACCCCCCCTCACTTTGACAAAAACAGGCTCTGCCGCCCCTTTATTTTTACAATGTTATTGTCTTGACTAAAAATCTATTATTGCATTCTATGACTTTTGCATGTCTCGTCATCCGTTATTCACATTGATTTTCTTCTTTCTAAAGAAATAAGCTGGAAAATTAATTTAATTATAGGATACAATTTCAATTATTCCAATCTCAGAAAGAACTCAATATTTTCTCACTCCTCTGCCTCTTTTCTTCCTCTTCTTTCTCCTCTCTCTCATCTCGCTCTTTCACTCTCCCACTCTCTCCTTCTCTCCTCTGTCTCTCACTCTATCTTTCTGTATGTGCATAATTATTTTAACATACTTCCCCGGTCGCTACGCTCCCTCGCATACGATACGGAATTTAACGCAAAGATTTCCGAAGGTTCGTTAAATCTGCCATAATTAGGTTCATAATTACGAACAATTCGAAATAGGGTTCTCTCTCGTTTTCGGGATTATGAACCTTCAGAATCATGAACCTGGTTTCATTTTTGGAATTACAAACCTTTTAAATCACAATCATTTGGAATAAAACACCTTCAGATTAATACATTTTGGGACTTACTGACCTTCGCAAATATGAATCTTTGGGGAAAAAGACATGTAACCGATCTTGATGACTTCTAAGTGCGTGTGTACATATAGTATAGTTTGAAAACGAGATAGATTGATTAATTCTACTTTCCAATGATCCGCCTATATATCTTTATTTCTTTTTCTCATTGAATACAAAGTCTCTCGAATCAAAATATAGTTATCAGTTATCAAAACATCTGGCCAACCCCAGCGGTCCTATCAATCATTACACACGAACAAAAATGATCAAAGACGCAAAGATGGGGAGAGTGGCGAGGAATAATTCCATAAAAGGGAAGCCATAATCGGTTCGAGTCATCAATTCAGGAGCTCATCTCACCCGCAACAAGCTGCCTTCAGAACTCTCTCACCAGATTGGTAAGCATCTGTTTTCTACTTTGCAGACTAATATTTCAGAACTTCAGTTCATAACTGATTTTTCGATAATATGTTTTTTTGCCCACTTCTAAATCTTGCTTCGTTCAAATGGCATATTACTTGTTTCTTTATTATTCACCAATACAATGCATATATTCTACAACCTGCCTTATAGGTTTAATAACTTGTAGTTCAAAACTTTGATGTTTAATCTTTAACCTTGATTTGTTATGTTTCCTTTTACATATTATAATGATGATATTATTAGTCTTCGGACTACAATCGTATATCAGTGTATGACGATATCAATCATGTAGAGGTGATGTGGTCCTGTGGATGAGTCAATCAAGTCCGGATTACCTAATGCATCGTTATAATGTTTGCACATTTCAATAGGTGTTGGACAAGTCTATTGAAATCGCTTTTCAGTTTGATTTTGCGAAGGTATTTGCAATCGTATATACTGATATCATCACCCACCTATCTATCTCTAAAGTAACTTTTTTATGGCACCCTGGGCAAATAATAAATTTGCGCCGCCCCTGTCCAAACGTATGAGCTTAGATACTAACAAGCTAAGTTCTCATTAATATCGTTCAAAAATTATAGAATGTAGTGAAAATGATTTTAACGTATTTAATCCGGGAATTGGTAACCCAAACCTTTATTAGTCTATGAGTTATCCACGCGAGGGAGGAAAAGCGACCATGCGGTGAAATTGATTGATTGATTTTATTCGTTAATTTATTGTTTGGGCTTGAGTAAATTTGCATTATGGAACATACAAAATAGAAAGGAAATACCTTCTTGTGATAACGTGTTGGGATATGAATAGAATTGCACTGATTTGTTGACAACTTTCTTAAGTTTAATACTCATGTCAATTTTTGAAAAATCTGTAGTTTGGCACATTCTGTTTTTCTGTATTTCCAATAGAGAGATTCCTAACGGGACAGGCTCTTTTTTTAATGTAAATTATATCTATGCAAAATTTTCATTTTCACCATTCAAAACGCGATTTCTTAAGCGTTTTACAATTTGGGGGGAAAAATTCCAACCGACGGTGTTTCTGATTTTGAAAATAGAAAAATGCTATTCTATTCAATTCTTTCTATATTCTAGCAGTATAATAAGGACGAACATTTTCGAGGAATTTCGCACAGAAATACGGTACCAGAACATTGGGGATAACTCCCAATTCTCGTTTCTTTTGTTCATCTTTTTAAAAACCAAACAGAATAGCCTTTCACATATTGCAGGCTGCTTCCCAAGCTAAACTAGTCAAGATGATGATCAAAGTAGCTCTTGTGCTCTGTGCTATTGTGGCAACCAGTATGGTGTGCGCCAAGGATGTTGAAGAGCAAGATGCAGTGGACACCTGTAAGTACATAAGTCAGCCAGGGACGTCAATGCTTGAAAAGTTTTGACCGCCCCCTTAAGAAATCTGTCAGAAAATCCCTAAGCTATTGTCAGAAAAGCTGTGAAATTAAGACATTTCGTTAACACATAATATTGTCTTACGACCCTACTTTACTCGGGGGGAGGGGGGGGGGGGGGAGTAAGAATATAATGTGTTTTCCAGGCACGGGTACTCTAAATGCGTTTTAACAAACTCAACCAACTTTCCTTTTTTTCCTCTCATTTTTTGCCTATTAATTTGACACCCTAAATGCCTCCCTCGCCTTAACCAGCCAAAACTTGTTTTGGTCGCGCGTATGTACATCGATATATATTTGAAAGCTCCCCCATGGTTTTTTTCTTTGTTTTCATTACATCTCGTTTCTATGGCAACCATGCAGTGCTGAATCTGATGCTCTCGGAGGAGGCTGCATCTCCTGATGACGCCGTAGCCTTGCAGCGCCATCACCGTCATCACCATCATGGCCATCATGGTACGTATATTTGTACAATAACAATAACAAGATAATTGTAGTGCAGATGTTCAACCAATGATTTTCCACTCGCAGTATACATACACAGAGCTGCATTTTAATCATCAAAATTTCAAATTAGACTCAATCACTTTTTATCAAGTATTTTTTTGAAATGTAGGAGTGGGGAGGGGGGGGGGGGTAGTGGCAAGCGGGCAGATCAAAACTATAAATGAGTATTAAAACAATCCACCACTTATAAACCTTTTACATGTATTTTGCTTTAAAAATGTAGATACCTGTCAAGTCTCAAGTAAGCGATGTTTAAGACTATAATGTTATGGGCTTATACGAGACTGTGGACATGAGCCAGTGGCGGGTCCAGGGAGTAAAAACACGTTAATTTTTACTTTTTTTGGAGACGGGCCCCTCCCCTGGTGCTAAAGGTGCTTTTCTCCCACTTTCTCTCTGTCTCACCCTCTCTCTCTCCCCCTCTCCCGTCTATCTCTGACTCCCTTTTCTCCACAATTTCCTCATTATCTTTCAAACAAAAAATATCGTCTTTTTTTATTTCTCACATAGGAAGGGACCATGAGGCAACATCCGAATGATGATTCTTCCTGAAGAAACAATGAAATAAAAGCAAGAAATTATCACCTTCCATCGTGTTTTTGCAACTTCCTAATATAATTCGAATCTTCTTTATCACTTCTGTATTGTTTAAACCCTTAAACCATGTTAATCCTCTAAAATCAAATGATGGTGAGTGGTTTTCATTATTAATACATATTTTGCCTTTACTTCCATGTATCCATTCATTATACATCTTTCCGAGGTGTATACAAATTATGTAGGGTTACAAGTACAACCATTCTTAAAATCTAGCATAATAATACATCTTTTCATCATAAGCTTCAAGTTAAAAATCTGGTTTTACTCTTTTTTTTGCCCTAAAAAACAATAAGACATTGTAAGCATGGTATTAGGGGAATAACTAATAGTATTAGAAATAATACTGATAATAAAATCACATGAACATGAAAAACATACCTAGCGTGTTTGTTTTGGGTATTTTGTTATATGCTATAAAGCCAGTAGTGTATATGATTAATAGAATAATGTTGGCATACAGGGAAAATACGAAAAACAACACTTCGATAAGAAAAAGTGAGAGAGGCAAAACTAAAACAAAGTGAAAAGGTTGAATAGAAGAATAAAGATAGAGAGAGAGAGAAGAGAGGGGGCACGGGAGAGCAGGGAGAAGAGCGCGAAAGAAAGAGAAAGTGTGTGTGAGAAAGATAGAGAGGAAGTGAGGCAAGGAAAGCGGAAAAAAGAGAAAGAGAAGTGATAACAGAATAGACTACTAAAGACAGAAAGGGAAAAAATGAAAGAGAGAGGGAGAGCAAGAGATGCAGTGACAGGGGAGAAGCAATATGCAATATGCAATTGAGGAGCATTTAAGACGGAGAGAAGAGAGAGGGGAGCAGAGAGTGTGAGTGCGTGCGCACGCTTGTGCGTGTGTGTGTGTGAGGCACACACATTACTCAGTTGGTCTGTATAAAAGTATCTGCAAAATGAGACTACAATACGCTCTGTACTTAAGTTTGACCATGGACCTATACGGATGGACATTCAACGTGATTCTTTCTTTGATCCAATGATAGTCACCGCCTCCTGATTATGTGCATCTTAATGAGAACATTCAGCTGTTTTAACAATAACGACTGCGTAAGCATTTTCGGTCATTGACAAAGGAGCAGTTTCACTCTCTTGGATTTTGTTTGGATGGTGTGCTCTGTAAGAGTGTGTCTTAAATACAAAAAACATCCCTAATGGGGAGCAGCAAAGTTGAAAAGCAGACGATTTTGGTGATATGAAATGTATTATTACTGATTTGCACACTTTCGCACACACCCATGACCTTATAAAACAATTAAAAGGCCATGATCTTTATAAGCCCTGTGCGTTGTAACTCTGGAATATTATAAGGAAATTGGGGGAAACGGGATTTAAATCACAACCAATCCAAATATAACCTCTATCTGGTTATCAACATGTTTTTCAAAATAAAATATAGTACACGGAACAACAATTTCCGATTATAAACCAGAACTGCACATCGATTTTCTATGATTTAAGCGAGTTATTATCTTCTGCGCATGTATATTAACATGTGTAAAATCACTATCTTGATTCTGTCCCGGCTTTTTGGCGGTGACCATCATGAGATCAAAGTGGAGAAACATGTCCGGAAGGTTATTGAGACGACATTGACGGAGACAATCACAATGAATAAGCCAGTTCATAGATACAATCCGCGCATGGGCAGATAAAGGTCATTTGTATCAAAATGTTTAAAACCCACAGAGATGAATACTGGATATGCGCTCATGAAAGTTATGTAACATTATTCATTTATGCACCAACGGTACATTCTATGATACGAAAGTGGAAATATTCTTTTCAAGAGGACAAACAAAAGGTATTCATGAAGCACATCTAGGACTTTGGCAGTTATTATTCTAAGATGCTCAAAGTGGAACTTCTCCATGTGTAAAAGATCTGTGGATATTTGGGGTCATTTGTACCATGTGCTATCTGTAAACTCCCTTATTCGTTAAGAAAACGATGAATGTCCATCCGTAATAGGTCCGTGGTTTGACACAGCAAGAAACCGACAGGTCTAGGCTCTGCTCAAGGCTTTAGGAATTGTGGATTTGTGGTAAAGTGATATATCAGAGTATATGCTTGCAAACTATGGAGGAGCAGAGGAGCACCTAGGCCCCTAGAGTCTAAGGGGTTTGATCCCAAAATATTTGAAAAACTGAAGCCATTTTTGTTGTTGTAATGGCATACTGAAATCCACAGCTACACTCTAAAAAATATTGGGCAAAAAATTACCCAATTTTTTACCCAACATGAGGGCAATTATTTGTCCATTAAGATTTTGCATGATTTACCCAGTGTTGGATAAAAAGAAAATATCCAAACTTTAACCAGCAAAAATTCACCCAATTCTCACGCTAATGTGTAGTATATTAGACTCTAGTTGGGCAGTTAAGTTGGATAAAATATTATATATATTATAAATAAAAGGACATTAGTGCAGCGGCGGCACTCGAACCGCGGACCCTGTGAACCACAGTCCTGTGTCACATCCACTCGACCACGACAACTCTAATATAAGAATATAACCATATTGTTGAATGATATTTGTCCGACTTACGTTTGCCCAGTAACATCTGCCCAACGTATTTTGAACATTTAATTGGGTAAATACATGTAGTAAAAACCGGGTTGGGAAAAAATAGCCCAAATGTTGGACTAAAATGGCTTTACTTTAATTTGCCCAATAACATTACCTAATTATTTCATCGGCAACTACATGCTGGTTGGTAGGAAATAACCCAATTGTTGGACGACAATTGCCAAACATCGATTTGCCCAGTAACACCTACCAAACCTATTTTTACCTTTCATGAGGTAACTTCATATAAGAAATGGTTGGAAGAAAATAACCCAATTATTGGACAAAATTTGCCCAACTTTGATTTGCCCAGTAAAATCTGCCCAACTTTTGTTGACAGTGTATAATGGACAAAATACATGTATCTGGACCTACAAATGGGAGGGCCAAGATAATGCACAATATTTTATTTCCTTAACCCTAATCACACATCATGGATATCCAGACTACACATTCAACAACATGTTGTCTTGAAAACTTGTATTAAAATAGGTAAATGGATCTTTTTGTGCCTTGTGTTCTAGTGGTGATAACCATTTTAAAGTAAGCATAATTATGGTTGAATATAAGGGGTGGCAATTTGGCCAAATTTAACTACATAAAAGAAGCTATATGAAGTTTATTCAAATAATACCTTGTTAAAACCTGTATAGCATTGGGACATCAGCATCATATAAAGCCCTCATAAAAGTGGAAACTCAATGATTATCACTTTGTTTAGTATCAATAGAAAGTGTGTTTATTCATTTTGTAAATTATGTCATATTGTAGCCATGGAATAGCAGTACATTAGAATAAGGGGGCAGTATCAAAAGGAATAGTTGCAAACTGCACAGGTTAATAGTGGAATTGTATGCAAAGAACTTTCGTTTCTTTGAAATAAGAACATTTTAGCGGTACTCAGCCGTATACTGGTCAACCACATTTGTATTATGTAGTATCAAGCAAACCTGAGTTAAATTAAAAACACTTTCTTCATATCAAAGCGATTTTAAAATGCATCTGTTAGTTTTTGTAATTACTGCTCATAGAACTGTATGTAGGATGTTTCCCTCTTTTTTATAACAAAAAATATATATAAATTAGATAAATAAAGTAGCATCAAAGAATTTGTAATATAAGCCCACAGCTGTTTTCTTTTTCTAAAAAAACAAGGTGTAAAAACTACTTACTGCTGCACACTTACATTTTACAAGCACACATTTTTATACCCGACAATTACAAGTTTGTTTCTTTTAAATGCCCTGATGTAACGCTGACTTCAAGTATAACTATGATATCGATTTAAAAACCAAAAAAACACACCAAAAATTGGTGCCGGCGGGGACGAGAAATACGTAATTTGTTATACTTGGCCTTATTACAATCAGAGGTCTTGAGGCCACAATTCAAATTATAAGATTACTGTCTAAAATGTTCAGGAAAATTTACCCAACATTCACCAACCAACTTTCTTGTGTGTAATTCTCAACAATGGCCTCAACCTGAAGTTGGAATAATATTACTATAAAAAATCATTAAAAAAAAAAACAGGGCCTAGTTCTGTTTAAAATAGTTTTATATTTCTTCATATAAATTATCTTTCGATGTATTTTGATTTTTATTATATACTCAGAACTGCATAAATAAATGAAATAATATATAAAAACTATTACAAACATAATACATTCCATGACCTACAAATTAATAATAATAATTACATATAACATTTATTAGGCGCTTAATACAGGTGTTTCTAAGCGCACCATTGTCTGACTTAAAATTACCAACTAAAACTTGTAATAAACACAAAAAATATAAATATAAAATTAAAGCTGTCTTTTGCTTATGAAGCTTACAATGAACAATATAAAGCTAGGCTATAACCAACATAGATACGTATTTATAGGACCCATAGTAGTATTCTATTAAATAATGGATTGCTTTGATGAAATCCGAGTGCGGAAAAGTTTGAAACCCCACCCGGGTCTACTCGTTTGTGAAGCCGGATATATTCTCAAAGTCGCACGCATAGGCATTGATCGTTTTGTCAGGCTAAGTCGGAGGAAAGATCGTATGCGGGCTGTTTGGTGATGGATGGCTGGCGCCGCTGTCAAGGGAGGCCCAGACGGGAGGACTTTCGCACGCATAGGCATTGATCATTTTGTGAGGCCAAGTCGGAGGAAGTATGCAGGTTGTTTGTTGATGGATGGCTGGCGCCGCTGTAAAGGGAGGCCCGGACGCGAATTTTTATTCCCAAACAGGTTTGCAATTTCTTATATTTCCGTTCTTCTCAATGGCTGATAATGTTCTGCGTCATTAGCAGCTTGGAAAGAGGTCACAAACAATTAGACTTTGATTTCTTATTGCTTTGCCTCACTATTTATTAAGGCAAAAAACTGAATAAACTGAGACTTGAACCCACAACTCTTTGATTGTAGTTCGCTGACCTTACCGATTGAGCCAACGATGGGTCGGTGAAAAGTGAGTCTGCATGATTTCTATAACCCTATCACTCACCCTAACTGTTACGTCATTGGTAATGACGTAACATATCAGCCAATCAGATGACCGGAAATATTAGGATTGGCAAACCTGTTTGGGAAAAAAAATAGCGGCCCGGACGGGAAGACTTTCGCACGCAAAGGCATTGATCATTTTGTCTGGCCAAGTCGGAGGAAAGATCGTATGCAGGTAGTATGTTGATGGATGACTGGCGCCGCTGTAAAGGGAGAACTTAAACGAAAATAATAGCCATTATTTTGTCGGGGTCATAAGTGTATACATTATTAATTTGATATTTTAATCTAACCGATGCCCCTT